CCCAACTTCCTACCACTTTTTCGGGATTCTCCCTAGAATTTCTCGTTTTCCCCAAGAAAAAAAAATTGCCGTCGAGCAGGTAGGAGGACAGGAAGAATGGCTATCAGTCGAAAAACGAGAACATTTTTTGCCAAGGGAGAACCGGAGACGAACCTGCTTGGGGATCCCAGACGTGTGACGTGCCCTGGCTGCCACTCTAGCAAACCAATCCGGGATCTGTTAATTGTACCGGATTTGTCTGAGAGAGAAACACTGATTTTCACATTGGCTGGTATCCGCAAGTTATTGTACATAGTTCCTCTACCCCCTCACCCCCCCCCCTGAAGCTGCGTTGTTTTATTCTACCTAACTAATTTCTAATAATCTTTTATTCTAGTAACTTTTTATCCTACCAACTAATGAATGATCACTGAAAATGCCTTTATATCTTGTCATATCATAATCTTTATAGCTTCCAGGGCGGCTATCAACCGCGAAGCCTCCTTTCCCATTTTTTCTCCCATTGAGCGATGTAGGCACGATTGCTGAAGGTGGGCGGTTATTCACAGCGTCACTGCTGGAAGCGCCGAGAGAACCTTTGGCCACACCCTACTGGGCCCGTCCACCAATGACGTTGGGAACCGCCTGCCCTCAGAAACCTTCCCCTCTGCCTCTAAGGCGTCGGCAAACGACTAGAACACGCCGCGGGACACCCGAAAGGGACGGTTTTTCGATAGATCCCTTCTAGCTCATGAAAAACCAGAAACCACAAAGAAAATTACCTACCATAAGGAATATTTGTTTGAATCGACCATTAATCCATGCAAAGTAAGGAGTACGGAAGTCCGTTCCCTCTGTTTCACAATGAACAATGAACTCCGTCAACAATACCGTGAATTTCTGAAAATATGAGCAAAATTAAAGTGCCAAATAACTTTCAGATATGCTGATAAACAGAATGAATCCTTCTACTCACGTGCAATACATCAAGGAACAGCGACTTTTGGAAGTCCTTGAGATTGTCGAGCTTTTCTTGCTGTTGTTCCAATTCCTCTTGTTCACGAGTCTTCACGTCAGCATCTGCCATCTTCAATATTTTCTGTTAAATTTTGAACCACAGGAAAAAAAGCCCCAAAAGCTGGAAATTTGCCTCTTCGCCATCTTCCAGACGTTGTCGGTCGACTCTTTTCTGTAGGATTTCCACATCATGAGCAACTTTGTGGATATGACGTGAAAGACGTTCCAAAGCTGTGTTCAGTACTTCCCAAATCCATTGCCTATAAAGCAAGATCTGAATGATCTGAGAGAAAAGAATGGCAGGAAAAGCTCACCTATCCGTTTCGCTTCTGAGATTTTCACTGAAAATCCAGGAAATGACAACGCCACAATCCAATATTTGCATTTTGAGCATTTTGTCAACTAATATGACTATTCGCTAAAACATGAAAATTAGTTGGAGTTTTAGAGAAAACCGATGAGGAAGGCCACAATAGTTGATGGTCTCCGCCCATACGATTAGAGCGGAACGCGTCTTCGAAGGCAGTACGAACGCTTGCTGGAGGCGGGCGGTTGCTGCCGACCGTCACTGTGGAAGGGCGTCTACCACACCCCCACTCAGCCCTTCCACCAATGACGTTGACGACAACCGCCCGCCCCGGCCACTGCCTTTGAACAAATGCGCTGAGAAACTCACCAAATGATTGTGACGCCAGCACTGAAACAAGCAAGCAGAGTAGTACTTCCTGCATCTCATCAGAAGTATCCGCAATGGTCTTCAGAGTCGTGCTATACCTGAAAAGGGGAAGCAGCTGAGTTACGGTGGATTCAAATGAGAACGTGATAGATGCAAACCTGGATAGAGCAACAAATGTATGACTGAACGACTTGGCAGAGGTTTTCAGTAGCACCTGAACTAGATCATTCTTGCGAGGGTACGGGGAATACATTCTATACCTCTCATATGGAGAGGCGTGGCTGCATACTTCTTTTGATCAACGCGCCCATTTTTTTCGCCTCCTTTGATCGTACATCTTGGGGCCGAGCAAAGACATGTTTACAATTCTTCCGGAATGCCAAAATACCTCACGAGAAGCGAAGGCAAGGTCACGTGGAGAATGCAGCCACGCCCTCCCCATCTCCGGGTTATAAAGTGTATGAATAGATCGAACTAACGGCAAAGAATATTCCGAACAAATCTGGATCATAACGGTCATCGGCATCACGAATTTCAGCCATAATTGTATTGTCGTCCGAACGACTTTGTAATGCAGAGGAATGGAACTTAGAGGCCACGCTTTCATACCTCAAGGTTGATTCTCTAAAATACGAAAAATGTAGCAGGAATTCTCTCCGAACCCCTCATTGTAAGGGTTGCACTGATACTTCGGGGAGAAATGCTGCATGAGAACATGGGATTTGGGAGAATGCGCGTGAAGGAAGGGGTCAATCTGGGCAGTCTGCGATAAGAGAGAATCAGTCACAAATACTAAAATGGGAACGTAAGTACGTAAATGTACTGATTGGAGTGTAAGGCGGACTCTCCCAAATCAGCGATTCCTTGGGAAACCGACTAGTGAGCGGCGAATTCAGTCGATTCCCATTTGATCCCCAGTCGCTGAGCCGCCATTTTCTTTTTTCGCGAAGTATGAACGCAGCAGAAACTACGAAAAGGTTACATACCATCGTCGAATTTGCACACAACATCTGGAGGAGGGGGAATCATGGCAGCAAACGACGTAGGAAGGAACTCTTTCAACTGTCCGTAATAAGACAGCCGACGGCACCTTCTCTATCACTTCACGAGCGAATATTTTCTTCGCATCCCATCTATCGGCCTAGAAAAGCAGATAAAAATAAGCCAGTATTAGCAGGTGAATCGAGGAGCGGGACAAGACAATCGTGGTTTGTCGCCTTGTACGTGCGACGTGTCGTGCGGCCGTGCGGCAAATCCGCATCAGTTCAAAAGTCCATCAAATCAAACCAGCAATCATCAGTGGAGCAGCAAATCTCATATGCGTTCAAGCGAAAACACTTCCCCTAATCGCAATATGGAATTTCCCAATCACTTAAAAATTCAACTGCAAACGGCTGGGCAGGACAAACCGTCTGTCGGGTGCGGCAGCTCGCCACGCCCATCAACGCGGCATATTACGATGGCCTTGTCACGTACCCGGTGAATTGGGCCGTTAATAAATGAAATGTAATGTACTTACAACGAGGCAATCCTTCCAGTCATTCCATGACCAACGGAAACCAAAATTGGATAAATGGAAGCTGAACCAGTCCACAAGTCTGAACAAAAGTCAAAATATTTTTCTGACAATGAATTTCTATTTGTCCGAATTTCGCTTGAAGCCTGACTGCAGGTCTATACACCGCTCGAGAGAGGCGATGGTTCAAGAAGCAGAAATGAAAATCGGATGTCAAGAGGAATACCTGTCTAAGCACAACGGTTGCATTGTACCAGCACGTTGATACAAGAAGTTCAGCAGCTTGAGCCAAAACTTGAGGCATAGTCGATGACTGCACTCTGCATAGATCCAAAAGGACGGGACCTGCAGCACTTTGGAGTTACGAGATTTCCAACATGAACAAAATTCACAGTTGAACACACAAAAATGATTTAAACATCGCAGACTGTGGTTGTGTGGGTGTAGAGAGATTAAGAAAATAAAAGCTCCAGGAACTGAAATGAATTGGCCGGTTTACAAAGTTGAAGGCGCCACCCAGGGTTGCCACAGGAAGATATTGTGGAGGGCACGACCCATGCTGTGTAATCCCCAGCAGGAGGAGCCGTATTTGGTCGCTGGAGGGAACGAGGGAGGGCGTCGTATTTGCTCCCCGCTTGGAAAGTGGGTGTATCTGGCCTTTGCTTCCGTGAATGAAAAAGTGGTGCGAGATTGGGGAAAGTCAGCAGGGTGGCAGACAGGATGGGTAAGGGGGGGGGTCGTACAAGAAGAGGAAATTCGGAAGGGGATCGCCTTTCACAACAATTTCTCCAACAACAGGACGTGCCCTAATGGGGAGTTGTTGGTGCACCTTCTCTCCCCCTTTTCTTCACTGCCATGTAATGTGAGAAGAAACGGGCAGAAATTTCCTGGCCCCACCTTCCCAGCAAACTACAAAGGTGCCTTTGAGGCTGAGTCAAAGATCTTTTACACAAGAGGAGCACTAGGTTCATGGAAAAGAAAACTAGAAAATGAAAAACGCGTTTACCATAAAAACCAGTCGGCTGAGGCGGAAGAGGAAGACGGAACAGCTGCGAAAATAATACCTCCAAAATCATGTAAGCGATAGGAACGTTAGCACCACGAGCATAATTGGTCAATTCCTGTGCACTAAAAACAATTACAAATCAAATATAGCAGCATGAGATGAGGAAGAGGCAAGTTTATAAATAGGTAAACTTCCAGAATTCTGACAAAACAATCAGAACTGGCAATCTTTGAAAGTCCGAAATCCTTCCGAAACAATCGCGAGAACACGCGAAACAGGCATAGCCCGATATGAGAAGACTTACAAGGAGTTGTTCAATTCAGGAGAGGCCCTTTCGTTAATTCATTAGATCCTTGTCAAGTGTGAACGAAGCATCAGCTCTTGCATAACTCAACAGGATTTTACACGTTTCCACAGTGATCGATGAGGACAGGCAAAATTCCCCACCCCTCCCCTTCACACATCCCAAAAACCGTGTTTGTTGAAGTTCCCCCTGACAAAAGTTTCCTACAAAACAATATTCACCCCGACTTTGTCGCATTTTCATGTGCGGTATCAAAAAGTCAATTTTGAGCACGAATACCTTCAAGAAACTTTTAACTTAATCAGTTTATTGAGTTTCGTAAAGTATTAGAAAAAATGCAAAAAACAATTAGGGGCCTTAACAACCATCAAGACTTACCATTATTTTCTATCGCTAGCAGTGAATCGATTATCCAATTTCAGCTCTTCTCTATCAAACAACACATAGCGCTATGAGTGCTCCCGGAAGTACTGTACCTGAAACAAAAGTGGATGTCATCGAAAGCACAAGATAAGAGAATTAGTCTGAGGTCTTCTACGCCATTGACATTCGTATAACGGCGCAGTGGGACGGAGGGGGGGGGCATTTTGCATTTTCGTTGCTTCACTAGTTCCGGTTTACAAGTCTCACCTTGGTAACCTGAAGGCTTGTTAAGCAGGAATAAGCTCGTCCAGCCAACATGGTAAATGATATTTATATAGTATATTGTTGCTTTATAAGAGCCGATAGGTCTCTACAAAGGTCGACTATTATCATTTGGCGGCTTCTTTTACAGGTCTCCACTTGATGGCTCGACACGCCGATGTGAAGTAGCAAAAGATCAAAGCCCCTAACCTCCAAAGCCGAACTGCGCAAGAACCCATCAGCAGAAAATAATCGCTAAAAAGAAATTAAAAGTGGGAATGAAAGGAAACTCACGTCTTCCGGACAATCAGCATAATCAAAAAGTCTGAACACAACAATGGGCAAGGGGTAATTTCGATTCCTCTTTGTGGATAGGTGGCGAAAAACTGAAATCGTGAAAAATACATAGAAGCATGGACCGCAGAGCTTCATCACTGCTACGAACCTGGGCAAATTATGTTGCAGAGCATCTTGAAGTGCAGCATCGAATGCCACATAATGCCTCGCAATCTGTTTCTCCTTCCAACCTACACTTTGCAAGGATTTTATTTGAGCCAACAAACAATCCAAGTAGTCCTCTTGCTCATGTGGTGAGCTCGAACTCCAAACTTGCAGCATCTGAAACGAAGTCCAATGCCAACTTGAGTATGGAGAAATCTTATCCCTTCAGCCTACCTTGAGATGGACTTTTCTTCGTCCTTCGACGTACTTACTAGCTCCTTCAAGAATGTTTTCCAATTCATCCTTCTTCTTCTCACTCAGTTCCAATCCAATCCATGGTAGAACGCGCAATACCACATAAACGAACCAATCTGTGCGCGCCTAAAAGTAGGAATTGAAAATCTTAAGAGTATGCGGGATCAAACTATGCCTAAAAGGGTAGAGAAGTCTGGTAGAACCTACTTGTGGTACATTCTCTTCAAAAACGCATTGTAGTAGTGCTTCAAGGAACTCAACAATTGAACTCAAGGTGAGCACTCGACTGTTTCCCAGGTCGCAGAGAAATGTTATCTAAAGATGGAACCTATATAAAAAGAAGGGCGCTCGTCGACTTGGG